TCTTGATGGTATAAATGTAAATTAAAATGTCTTAAATCAGATGTTTAAAGACAACACAGTCCTACTTTTATTAAAAGTAACTATTTATTGGTAGTTTTACAATGTTAAAGCAAACATTCTCAGCACTCTGTCTTGGGTATGAAAGAAATGAAATTTCTAAATTGCAGAAGAGTTTTAACGAGTCATTTTACACTTAACTGCAAAGGGATGTTTATCCACAATGGTGTAGTGTGTACTGGTGAGGGCAGTAAAGGATGGTGCCATGCAGATTTCCATGGTGCAAAAAATCTCATTAAAATAATTAGAGCTCTTTTACATTTAAAACTTTTGCCTTACACTTCTAATTTTGTTTTTAATGGTTTTTTCTTTTCATTTTAGGGTTTTTTTTAATCAGGCTGTGTACTTCTCCTTGGGGTAGGATGCTGGCTTACATTCCCTAAGCCTCCAGCTCTGGAGATTGGTGTTGTATCAAGGTCCTACTCCACAAAACTGTTCTACATTAGATAGATTTGCCTGGGGTTTGAGAGACTCCTGCATTTATTAAACACCAGCCTGCTCCTGCTCATGGATGTTTTGATGTGCCTTCCAGTTTGGAAGTGTTTGGCTCATAAAGCACATGCCAGCTGTCTTCCCTCCCCTCTTTATTTCTAAAAAATTCACATGAAACATTCTCTAATATGCAGGAAGGAATTATGCACAATCACACAACAGAAGTGTGACGGGCTTGGGAGATTTTTACTGATTTGACTCCCCCCTCATGCTCTTCTGATCAGGACCCTTAATCAGTGCTCTCTAACTGTCCCTTCTCTTACTCCTCCACCTCTAAAAAAAATTAATCTTGTGAAATATCTACCAGGTACAGTTTGCCACTTGCTGTTGGTGTCTCAGCCATTGCAAGAGCCCAGAAACCTGGACTGTCAAATTGCTCTCTTGAACCTTCCAGTGTGGTTCTGGCTTTACAGCCTGGGCAGGTCCCAGCATTAAAGGAATGGCATTTACTTCTACACAACACTTCCCAGAGCTCTGAGATGGCTCAGGAAGTGCTGCTGGGCTGAGAAACACACATTTGTGGTTTGCTCTGAGGATGCACAGTCTGAAAGGGAAGGAAAAATGAGAAGGGCTAAGGAGCTTGGTGTGCTAAGCAGCCCTTTGGCTGCCAGTCATCTTCAGCACAATTCTTAAAGTAAAAATTTAAGTTGCATCTTATATTTCAACTTGGAAAATTATGGGGATTAGTAACAAACCACTAAGAACCAGGAGTCTGGTTCTGAGAGATCAGTATTGTATCCCTGGTTCTGTCATAAATTTCATTCTTGTCTGTGGGCAGGGTACCTAAGGTATTTGCATCTTGGATTTCACTCTTGCAAATGTAAAAACAAATGTAAAAACAAAGTCCTTTGTGTTTGTATTTTTCCTGCTGCTATGATCTTGTATTAGCCCTAATCATTATTTCCAAGTATAGAATAATAGTACCTGCAGAAGCTGGATTTTATTGTGTCCAAATAATGCTTCTTTATCTGTTTCACAGCTCGAGTTCCTAAAAAAATCCTGAAATGCAAAGCAGTATCCCGGGAGTTAAACTTTTCCTCAGCAGAACAAATGGAAAAATTCCGTCTGGAACAGAAAGTTTATTTCAAAGGGCAGTGTCTAGAAGGTATGGATGTGCTCTGTGTGCTGCAGCACAGGGACTGACCCCCAGCAGGGCAGGGATTAGAGAGACTAAAATGGGTTGAATGTGGTGATTTTAATTTTTCAGAGTAGCTCTGAAGCACTCATCTTGTCAGGACTAATGGGCCACAGTATTAAGGATGGCATTTCATAAGTGTATTAACACTTTGTTATGTAAGCAAAAAAGCTGGGTAATCATGCCTGAGGGCATAAATCCACCTCAGGCTGCCTGAGGCAAGGAAACAGGCTATTTCAGAGTCAACTATTACAGGAATTCCTGGGTTTTCCTCAGTGCCAGGCTGGAGCCTCTGGTTTGTCTGTTTTCAGCAGTGCCAGTGACCTCACAACTGCACCTCTGACCCCCTCACTGCCGTGCTGCTCTTAGTCCGGGCTGGAGGGGCAGATAAAACACTGAGCTCCGTGTGGTTTGGGCAACCAGTTGCAGCTTAACCTCAGCTGGATCCCAGGATGTCTGCGGGAGGAGGAGGGTGGTTTCCTGTTCCCAATTAGGTGTGTTGAAATTTTCACCCAATGCCACGGAAGTGGGGTGACCCTATCAGTGCCATCAGCTATTTTAGAAAGGGAGTATCTGCTCTGAGAGGAGGGCAGGGTTCAGTGCAGTTTAAGCTGTACAAAGTAATTTAAATGTAAAATGTTGGCAGCCCAACAGGACAGTTTAGGGAGTTCCCCAGCCTATCAGGTGAAAAGGACCATTTGTGAATTTTCTTCTTTCAAGTGCCTCTGGATTATTTTTTTTTTGTTTTGTTTTACTTTGCAGAATGGTTCTTTGAATTTGGTTTTGTGATTCCTAACTCCACAAACACTTGGCAGTCCTTGATAGAGGCAGCACCTGAATCACAGATGATGCCAGCTAACGTTTTAACGTGAGTGCCTTGGGCTTGCAAAGGCTGAGAGCAGGCACAGCAAAAGCAGTGCATGGCATTTCCTTGGTGGGCAGGAGAGGAGGGAGCTGCTACCAACTCTGAAACACCTCACTACTCTTAGTTGTTGAGAGATAAAAGGGGTTAAGCCAACCTCATTACCTTCCTTCCCACAGGTCCAATTTGCATTAATATAGCAATAAAGGTTTGGAGAAAGTGAAACTGATTCTTTAATAAAGTTGCTTAATTTTTTTGGAAGGCGAATCGTGAAAGGATTTTAAAAGGTTTTACAACTTAATACCTGTTATATCCAGGGAAGAAAAAACCCAGCAGATTTTTGGGCCCTTTTTAAATCAGCTATTGATCGTTGATTCTTGCCCAAAGTAGTTCAGCTCATGCAATATATCACCTGTAGCAGCTGCTCTGGTGTTTGTTTCATCACTGTAATATTTTGCTGAGCTTTGGGTCTTTAACATTGGCCTGTACACATTTAGTGTATATGCATATATACACATTTATGTACACTATACACAGAGTTGTATCTGGGGCTAAAGTGCTTTAACAGGTAGGAGTCAGTCATTTTACAGTCACCTGCAGGAAGATTCACACAGCCTCCCCACAAAGTCTGCTCCTGGCTCTGTGTGCACAAGGGCTCCTGAGCAGGGCAGGGATGCCTCAGATGTGTCACAGTGACACACAGTGTGGGCTCCAGCTTTGGGGGATGATGGGAAAGGCTCCTGGAGGGAGGTCTTGGGAAGGGTAACCATCCTCCCTGCAGTGCTGGATGGGTGCTGGCAAGCACACAAGGAGAGCAGTGCCAGACACAGAAGGGTTTGGGAACCCTGCTGCCAGCAAGAGGCAGGCAGGGAGCAGCAAGGTCACTGTGTCCTCTGGAAGATCTCCCTCTCCAGCATTTTCCCTCTCATTCCCTGTCTGGAGCAAAGCCAGTCACACAGAGAAGGCACTGGGATGGGAGCTACCATCACTGATTGCCATTCACAGCACGTTTCAAAGAGAGTGGGCTTGGAGGAGAGCACCAGTGTTCCAACAGTGCTCCTGGCACAGCCTGCTCAGAACCTTGGAGTGCTGCACACACCTCAGCTCCCAGAGCTGGGCACTGTCAGTACAGGAGGAGCCAGATTTGGGAACCAGAATAAAGAAACAAAGACATCTGACAAGTTGCTTTTGATCATCTCAGGAATTCAGGATGTTTTCAGGACTGGGAGTCAAGAGAAGTTAGTTGTCAAATGACCTTGAGTATTTTCCAATGTCCCATTTGTTCCCTGCAGTGGGGAGCCCAGATCTCTCTCTCCTATTTATAGAGGTATCCTAAAGTCATTCTTGAGGCTTTTCAGTAGAATGCCCCACCCCAAAGAAATCCAAAGGGAAATTTGTGGCCCAAAGAAGTCATCATTTTACAGCTGCCAAGATTTGGACACCCCCCTCATTTTCTAATATTCCCAAAGACCTCATGTTTGTCTTGGTGTTTCCAAACCAGGAGAGAATGGAGATGTGATCCTTGGTGCTAACCAAGGCACTGTGCATGAAGAGTTCCCAAGATGAGCAAGTATCAGATTGAGGACATTCCCTGACATTTCAGCTCAAGCATTGTCCACACCACAACAAAACCTTACACTCTCAGCAGGTCCAGTGTTACAGACACCAAGAGCCACAGTGGAGGTAGAACTGCTGCTTTGCTTTTCAAGGTCCAGGTTGTTTAGATAAGGTCAGATCACACTGCTTAGGTGTCCAGGTGTTATAATGGTCCCAGAGTTCTAATTTTTATGTACCAAAATCTCAGAAGTCAGCAAGTTAAATCCCCAGAGCTTCTTTCACACCCAAATCCATATTTCCATTGCTGTTTGTATAAAATATGCTTGTGCCTTTGCATTTAAGCACTTCTTAAGGGAAATGACATGTTGGTTGATGTTGCTTGCTCAGCACTAGAGGACAGAGAAGGAGAATAAAAAAAGAATTCCCATTGGTTTTCACAATTCCTGCAGGAGACAGGGCCCTAAAGGTGCTGGGACTGCTGGTTTATTTTTAGCAGTGGGAGTGAGCAGGAGTTTGCTGTCCAAGCACTCTGCAGGGTGAGCAGTACCTGAGTACTCAGAGGCTCAGACAGGGAAGGGATGGGGGGAACATTCAACACAGGAATGTGGGAGACCCCTGAGTCCTGACTGGCCCTGACCAGGACAGTGCTCCAAACCAGAGAAACGAGGTTGTGGGGTGGTCAGGGTGTGAGCCCAGGCTTGTGAGAGCATGGAGAGGAGCAGTCACTGTCCATGCATCCTTCTAACACCTCTTCTTTCTCCTCCTTTCCTCCTGCAGTGGTAATGTTATTATAGAAACCAAATTCTATGATGACGATCTTCTCGTAAGCACTTCCAGAGTGAGACTTTTCTACGTTTGAGATGGGGCTTTTTGGAGCTGTTTTAGTTTTCCTCCATACAGTTCTTGGTGCAGAACCCCCCCGACTATCCAGTGGAAGACACTCCTGTAGGCAGTGACCCTGGGGACCAGCTCAGCGTGGGTTGTGACCTTTGCCCATCAGTTCTTTTGCTTTCTTCTCTGACAAGACCAGACCAAATCCTCAGAGACGGGGCCATCTGCGTAGCGATGCCCTCAGGAAGAGAGGCTGTCTCTGAACACAGGCAAACGGTGGTCATGCAGAACAATACTGTAAATTTGTGTTAGTCTCATCCTTTCTACTTCTCTGGACCCTGGTATAATCTCCCATTTCCACTCACACCAAACTCTCGATGCTTTTATTTTGGGGTTAAGTTAACCTTTTCATTTTTCTCATGTTGTAGATTTTTATCCTTTCGCTGGATTTCTGTGTAACTGGTCCACACATCCTTTTACCCCCAACTTGTAAAATAGACTGTGATATCACCTAATGTAATTAAAACAAATTTCTCAATTAAAACATTCCTACCGTCCAAAGAAGGGAAGAAATGTCAGTTTTGTGTGTTTTCCTTTCTGTTACAAAAATGTACCTCAGCAGGCACAAACTCCCATCACTCAAGCCAGCAGCAGAACAGGGCTTTCCACTGCTCTGCCCCTTCCACAACCCCCTCTCTGTGCTCTTCCTCCAACTGGCTTCATCAGAAAGGTGTCCTGACTTCTCTGACCAAGGCTTCTCCTTGGCCTCCCCTCTGTTAATCCCTTAGGGCCAACTGTCCCCTTGTCACCGGTTTCTCAAGCAGCACTGCACACTGTTGTGCTTTTCCAAGTGCCTGGGGACACTCAAGCCCCTCTGGAAAACTCAGGTTCCCCTGAGCCCACAGCACCACTCCCGTGCTGGGCTGGGCTCCCTGGAGCTCCACTGACACCAACACTCCCCACGTGGGGAGGCTTCAGTGACAGCAGCACATTTTCTGTGACACATTTCTCCAGCCCTGCTGCCACTTTTCCCTGCAGTTTGTAATCAGCTCTAGCACGTGGACATTGTGGGAAGGGGCATCTCCAGCTGCTGCTCCTGAACATCACAGGCAGCTGTGTAATCACTCAGTGCCTTGGTCAGCCTGTCCTGTTGCTGGGCATGAAATCCTCAGAGCCACAAGGAAATGAAAGGCATCATTTCACATCCTGGATTCAGCCACTGGGTGTGTGTGGGAGGGATACAGAGTATATGTCGTTTAGGGGGTTTGAAGTTGGACCATTAATCCCCATTAGCCACGACAGAAACTCTCACCAGACCTCACTGATGGATCCCAGCCTGGAGCACCTGCAGGGCAGAGTCTTGTCAGCACTGTGACCATCCCAGGCCAGCCTTCAAACAGAGACACCAACCAAAACTGCACACAGCACAAACCACAGCCACTGAAGGTGGGACTCTGTCCAAGGGGAGACACAAAGGTATCCAAAAAGGAAAAGTGAAAAAGGTTGAAGGTCTTGCGAGCCGCTGTCTGTGTTGTAGGGCAGACACCGTGCTAGACCACAGAGGAGGGGTCCAGCAGAGACAGGGAGCAGGCACCACCTCTGCCAAGCTCAGCTACAACCAAGGACTGACCCAGGGCACAGGGACAGATGCTCCCAGTGGGTCTGAGTCTACCCTGCTGCCTTTTCCTTCTAATGGCCAATCGTGTCCTGGGCTGCATCCAAGGCAGCACAGCCAGCAGGTCAAGGGAGATGATTCTCCCCCTCTACCCCACTCTTGTGAGACCCCACCTGGAGTGTTGCATTCATCCCTGGGGTGTCAGTACAGGAAAGACATGGACCTGATGGAGGAGGTCCAGAGAAGGACCCAAAAATGATCAGAGGAAAGGGTCAGCTTGCCAGTGAAGATAGGCTGAGACAGCTGTGGTTGTTCAGCCTGAGAAGGCTCCGGAGAGACCTTTTTGCATCCTTCCAGTACTCGTAGGGGCCTGTAAGAGATGGAAACAGACTTTTTAGTAGGGCCCATAGCTATAGGACAAGGGTGATGGCTTTAAAGGAGGGTCAATTTAGATTAGATATAAGGAAGGAATTTTTTAGGGTGAGAGTGGTGAAACACGGGAACAGGTTGCCCCATTTCAGGTCAGGTCAGTGCATCAGCACCTGACCTGGTTCTGATCAGGTGCTGATCCACTGATCCTGACCTGGTTCAGATGTCCCTGCTCCTGGCAGGGGGGTTGGACTAGGCGACCTTTAAAAGTCCCTTCCAACCCACGTAATTCTGTGCAAACTGAGAATTCCCAGAGCCACTTACCCTCCCCGGCTCCCTGCGGGGCCGCTCACGGTGGCGGCTCCGCGGGGCTCCAAGAGGGCACCGACCCGCGTGGCTGAGGCTCCCGCCGGGCGAGCAGCCCTGGGAAAGGCTCCTGGAGGGGGCCTCTCCTGAGACGGCCCGGGGGGTCTCCGGAGCCCCTTCCCCCCGCGCCCGCCCTGCCCGGGCTGGCCCAGTTTGCCCGGCCGGAGCCGGCGGGCCCCGCTACGGTGGGTCACTGCCGCCCTCCAGTGGCTCCGTGCGGAACAGCCGGAGCAGCTCACCCGCTCCTGGTCCCGAACCACCTCTCCTGGGCCGGGCCGGGCCGGGCCGCAGGGCAGGGTGACACTGGGGAATGAGCAGCCACCACCCAAAACCCAGGCAAAGGGCCCCGTGAAGCTCAGAGCAGGAGCTCGTTCTTGGCCCAGGCACCCTGCCCTGTGGGGCTGATGGGATTTGGGAGCCCTGGGAGAAGGGGCAGGAGGCACGGGCCCAAGCATGGCACTGTCAGATCTTGGCTCCCTTGCATGGGACAGCAAAGGTGCCAGTGAAGGGAAAAGCGGGGCTGGAAAGTGAGAGAGGGGAGCAGGAGGTCAGGGGTGCATGTGTCACCACTGCCACCAACAACCCATGTCCCTGTGGCAGTTCTGGCTGCAATGTGAGGGCATCCTCATGCCACCCTCTGCAAAGTCTGGGGGTCACAAGTGAGTGCAAGGACCAACACAGTGATTCCCCCTCTTACTTACCAAATCAGTTCCCATCTGGAAGTTCAAAGGCTTGGCAGGCATCTCTGGGCCACAAAGCAGCCCCCAGCCAGCTCCACAAGCAGGGCTCTGCATGAGGGAAAAGCTCTGTGGTGGAAGAGAGGCAACTTTGGCAAGGGCAGGACCCAGCTAAGGCCCCTGAGGAGCCTCTCACTAGGCAGGGCCTTGCCCAAAGCTCAGGCCACTCACAGAGCCCTGGCTCGCTTGGAGCTGCTGCCTCAGGCGCCTGCTGGAGCCTTTGGCATAGGCCTGGCCGGGTGCGGCAGCCACCGCCGCTGTGGTGACTCGCGGCCGGCAGCCGCGGCCTTCCTGGGGTGTTCGGCCTCGATGGCTCCCACAGCAGGCACCAGTGCCTCCCGGCCGGGGCATTTGTTTCTGGAGCCTTGGGGTAGGGAAGGTGCTCCCTGCCAGCTGGAAATCGCCACAGGGGTCTCGTCCATCCCCTCGGGAGGGCCATGAGCCGCCCTGGCAGCCTTGGAAACCCTGAGGTGAGAGCAGAGCCCGGCACGCAGTCAGGGCCCATGGAGGCACATCGGGAACTGGAGAGAGGTGAGCACAGCTCAGGGGGCTGGCACACAGAGATTGGCGTGAAGCTCCATCCTCATCACCCTCCAGCCATGGCTTGGCCTGGGAGCACTCCGAGCTGGGCTGTTGCACAGCAGCGAGGGAGGAGGGTGATGCACAACAGCCTTTTGGCTTCATGGGAGCTCCCTGCATAGTTCTGGGGTCCATCACACCGTAAGTCTCCCTGAAGCACAGCTGATGGCAATGGAACCACCAAGCAGGGCCCTGCACTGGGTGTGAGAGACCCTTCCCTGTGTGCTGCCATCAAGGTGAGGAGAACTGGGCCGGCTCCCGCTCTCCACGGCACGCACCAGGCTCTCACACCCTCAGCACCCATGGCCAGCAGCTCTTCAGGCTGTCACCCACCCTAAGGGCTGCTCTGGGAGCTCTCAGCTGCCCGCCCGGCCGGCAAAGCCACCGGGGCTCCTGGCCCGTGCCCCAAATCTGCCCCGCCCAAACAAGGCTCAGGCGGGGCGGCAGAGCCATCCTAATGCGCTTAATGAGCTGATTCATGAAAGCTGCTGCCGAACAAAAGGCGCACAAACAGCCCAGGGCCACGTTATGTTCGGTGTCTGCTTTGCTACTCTTACCTTCCCGCAGGTGCGGGCACAGAGCGGTGACAACGGGCAGGACAAGGGGACAGCGAGCACAGAGCGGTGACAACGGGCTCAGCAATATCTCGTCCCATCTCACCCAGTGCCATCCAGTTCAGCAGCACTGGGAGGAGACAGGAGGCCTCGGCAGGTCTGAGTCCCCTGCTCCTTTTTGGGGGCACAGATCCCGCCCCTGGGTTGCCAAATCAGAGCAGGCAGAGCCCTGAGCAGGCACTCAACCACTCAGACACAGGGATTTCACTGCCAGGTGACCTGAGCACAGTTCCATCTCTCCCCAAGGACAGGAGGAGGACAGCTGGAGCAAATACAGGATTCAAAGCACCCTTTTTTCAGTCCAAGGTGTCCAATTCTTCCTGCCCTAGGGAGCACCTGCCCACCAGCCCTCAGTGCTACAGGACCTGGCTGCAATCCCTGTTGGGCTCAGCAGCTGCCTCACCCCGCTGCAGGTCTGACAGCCACATCTGCAGTGCTCCAAGAGAGGGACCAACCATCACCACAGCCCCTTTGGAAGAGCATTCCATTCTTATGGCATCTAGCTCTGAGCCAAAATCCTTCCTGCACCAGCCCCCCACACCAGAATCCTGCCTGCACCTCAGTGCCAGGCAGGGTGTGGAGAGTGGCAGGCACCCAGAAGGGGTGACAAGCTGAGACAAGCAGGGGACACAGAGCAAGGGGATGAGAGGACCCTGTAATGGTGCTGAGATCCTGGTGTCCCCAAAGCCAGGCTGGAAAGGTCTGACATTGCCCTGAATGTGAGAAAGGGGAACAGTGACAAGCTGTGGGAAGGGATCACACTCTCACCAGGTACAGAAGATGGGCCCCAAGAAACTGCAGGGGATGCAGGAGTGACGTGAAGGCCCCGAGGGTGAGGCACTGACAGAGCTGGAGCCACCTGGCTGATAGAGAAGCAAGTGTTCCAAGGAGAGGGCAGAGGCCCAATTTCCATGGGAGGAGGTGGCAAACCCGGCAGCTGAGCCCAGATACATTTGGCTCAGGAACTGGGAACGTCTGCGCCCCTCGACGTTTCCCGGAATCCTTGCAGGAAATTCCCTGGCACAGAGTAGGAGCTCGGGGGAGGCAGTTCCGGCTGCCCCGGGCCAGCAGCCACGCTGTGCCGCCTGTTCATCCCCGTCACCACCAGCCTGGCCGGCTCTCCTGGCAGGTTGGCCTTGGCAGCGCCACCCAGGGCGGGGGACAGCCACGGCGGCTCCGGGGGCAGCGGGGCCGTGCCCATCCCGCGGCGCTAGATGGAGCTGCGAGACAGCGCTGATGCTGCCGCTGCGGTCACCGCCTCGCCCGGAGCCGGGACAGCCCTGAGGGCCAGCTCGGCACAGCAGCCAGGCTGGCGGGGCACCCGGGGTGGGACGTGCCACCAGCCGTGCCCCAGGAGAGGAGCGGCCCCACCTCTGGGCTGGACACGGAGTTCCCGGGGCCAGCCCGGAGCTGGGATGAGGTGTCCCAGCATCTCCACAGGCACCGACACCTGCATGCCTCATGCCTGCCTTCATCCCTCATTCGAGTACGTTCCTGCCAAGCCAGGGATGCACAAGTCCCCAGACAGGCCGGTGGGGCTCCCCACGGCCACACACAGTCCCCTGCCACCTCTGAGGGGTGCCCACGGCCATCCCACGGAGCTGCACAGAGTGCAGGGAGCACCAGCTCCAGTCCCTGCTTGGTGTCCCATGCTCATCTCTTCCCATGGCAGCCTTGTCCCACAGCCCACCCCGGGGATGGAGCTTTAGGCTGGGGGTGTCCCCAGGGAAGCAGCACATCCTTACCCTAGGAGCGGGGATAAGGGGGATTTGCCCCAAACCAGCCAGCCCCTGAAATTGCTGTGGGTTGGTTCAACCAGAATTGGCTCTGCAGCCTGCACTGCACCATCCCTGCAGGGGCTGCACCCCACAGCAGCTGCTCTGAGCCCTTGTGAGCCCTCAGGGCCTCGCTTGGTGTCCAGCCCCATGCAGGACCACAGTCCCTGCCACTCCAGCCAGGGCATTTAGAGTCACATCCCTCCTCTGCCTGCGGATCCAGGGCCCAGAGGACCCACATCCCACCCAACAGCCAGGCAGAGCCCCTCGCCTTCAGGCCTCTCTCTGAATGGGAAAGGACACATGTAAAGATTCATCCCTGTGGGTTCTCCAAGAGCAAATCAGACTGTGCTTTCTCAACCCCCAGCTGTTCCACTTGCACTGTGCTTTCTTAGTAAAGGAATGCAGGATCCTCTCCAGGTCCACATCTGCTCTGAAGGACAGCACTGGACTCTTACTCCAAGGTCTCCTCCTGGCCCACACCTAGCACAGCACTGTGGAGTGGATCTGAGCCCACCAACCCCTGCCTGTCCACCACCCCTCCCTCCGGGGCTCCCCAGCCAGCCCTGAACAGGAGCCACAGCCCTCAGCAGGGTTTGCAAAGCTGAGGGGCTCTCTCAGCCCTTTGGAGAGGACCAGCTCAGCCAGAGAAGCTGGAGCAGCCATGGGCACAAGGATGGACATAGGGTCTGCACAGGAGGAGCTCCAGGCAGCCCAGCTCTACTCCCTCTCCAAGGCTCCCACCCCCAGAGGGGGAAAGGATTGAAGTGGTGGCCCCAAGAAGATCTGGCAGGGGCGGCAAACATCCAGCTGGGTTTCAGAGCTCAAGGACCTCTGCTGGGCTGGGGACAGCCAGGTCCCTCCAACAGCCACCTCAGGGCCCAGGGACAGAGCTGCCCTGGCTCACTGAGGGGGACAGGCCGGGGGGACACAGCAGCCAGGGATGAGACAGCAATGAGATGTCCCACTTCAGCTCTCCAGACTGGGCTGGTCTTTCCTGCCCACACCAGGCAGCTCTTGAGGCAAGTGCACAAACATTCCTGAGCCATTGAGGAGGCACATGCAGTCATACCAGGCATGACTGGCCAAGGCCCTGGGCTTCCACAGCCCACTCCTGAGGGGTCTATTCCAATGGGACACCTCACATCCTGAGCCAGGTGGCAATTGCTCCACCACAGGAGCAGCTCTTCATGCCTATTTTCAACAGCAACCACTCAAAATTGCTTCTGTGTTTGTGAGCTTGAAGAATCACACCTGGAAGGCAGTTTCACTCGTCAGTCTCTTAAGCTGATGCCAATTATTTGCCCAGACACAAACTGCAGCAGTAACCAACCCCAGCCTGTGTCTTGCCTGCAGTCCAAGCCCTGCATTCCCCACAGGCAGGTTCTCCACTGAGCCCCCAGGGTGCTCCAAATTTAATGAGGGTTGTCAAGATGCAACAAGAAGTTTTGGATGAGGCTAACCAAAAGCTACAGCTGGTGCAGCTGTAACAAACCCACGATGGGCAGGTCAGGATGGAGGCAGCTGTGCCAGGCCAGGCTCAGTCCAGCTGTCCACAGGGCATGGGCTCATGGTTGGTTCTGCTGGCTGTGACCCATGGCAGAACAGCTCCTCTGGAGTGATGTGCATCAGGCCAACCACGTGGGAGCTGCTCTCAGTCCACCTGGTTGTTGAGCCACACAAAATGGCTTCAGCTGAGGTCTGGACACAGCAGAATCCTCAGAAGGGCTGCCCTTGGTTTCAGTGGCCACTGGAGCACATGGACACAGTCTGGGTCCCTCCTGGTGCATACGAGGCTCTCCTGATGCTCCCTACTGCAGCTCTCCCGATAGTTCCTGTGGGAGCCACCTCACCCATCTTCAGAGGTAAGCATCCACCTGAGGACAGCTCCATCCACTTGCCTCCACAGTCTCCAGGAGCAGCGTGATCAGCAGCTCAGCAGGGTTTGGATCCCTCACAACCAACACGAGGTGTCTGCAGGTGAGGGGTGGCACTGGCACTTCTGCCCTGCTGGTCACAGCTGAACATGTGACCTGTGACAGCTCTGGGTGAGGGCCCCAGCACTGCTCCCGCCTGAAGGCACACCATGACTGCGGGCTCTTCACCTTCTGCCCTGTGGTGTCAGCCCCCACAGAGCCCAGATCAGGCCTCCAGGCAGAGCTGGGATCATCTCCTGAACATTGAGGCAGGTGGGACTCTCCAGCTCCCAGTGGGCAGACCCTGGCACAAGGCTGACTCCTCAGGAAAACATCTCCAAGATCTTCACAGGCACCTTCAGCTGGCACGACTCCTGCAAGCCTTCTCCTGCTGGGGGGACCTAGTGCTCCTGGCCCCTGTCCCAAGACATTACCCAGGTGAGCAGTCTCTCGAGCATTTTGGACTCACTCAGCCCCTGTGGCACTGGGCACCACAAAACCACTGTATTCCACCTACATCCTCCCAGGACCCTGCAGGTGGGAGCCTTTTCCAAAAGAACCACCACAACTCCTCCATCCTGGGATGACCCCAACCGCTGGGACAGCGCCGGAGCTGAAGGGCTTTTATAGCTCCTGGCAGGGTGTGGCTGCCCCTGATTAGCCAGGCCAGAAGCAGGCAGCAGCTCCTGATTGGCTCAACGCAGCCCCTTTCGCGCTGTGATTGGTGGGCAGCTGCTGCAGGGGTGAGGCAGCAGCAGAGACAAGTGGCAGCACGTGGTTGGCTGTGGTGTAGTGCCAGGTGGCAGCACATGATTGGTCAGATCGGAGTGTTGCTTGGTGGTGATTGGTGGAGGCAGCATGAGGGAAGACGGGCCAGGTGGCAGCACAGGATTGGCTAGTGGGCTGAGCTGCCACGTGGGGATTGGCTGGGGCTGGGATCCCTGCGAGGATCCATGCACGGAGCTGTGCCTCAGCCCTGCCCTGGCACTGCCAGAGCACCCCCAGGCCATGGGGCAGCAGGGGCAGCCAGAGCCACTGGGGCCGAGCCACACGGATGGAGATGGGGTGCAGAAACACCGGGGCACATGGGGGGAGGAACTGGGGTTTGCCCTCTCCATCCCCGCAGGGCTCCCAGCAGCCGGGTGTAGGGTAGGGTCACTCTGACCTGCCCCCACACCCCTGGCTGCTCCATGCCCTTCCCAACATTAGTGTGCCCACCTGGGAGGCTGGGGCAGCCTCCAGTTTCATCTCACACCAAAATGGACCCTGTGACCCAAGACCACCAGGGTTTTGTGGGGCTGCAGAGCAGACAAGTCCTTCTCTGCAATGGGGACTGTAAGGCCACTGCTCCCCCACCGTTCCCCCTCTCCACCCCTGGGCCCTCACACCAGCTTTGTGTGTGCAGAGTCCCCACATTTCAGGGACAACTGGAGCCTGCTCTTCTCTACACAGCTGCAGAAGCTTATTTGAATAATTTGCCTTGCAAATCTACAAGTACCAACTTGAGTCTTGCACTGTGAGCACCCATCCCCTCATGATGCAGGAGCCACGCATGGGGCAGCCGTGGTGAGGACACAAGGATGTGGACGGGACTCCCAGCACTGCTCACCAAAGCCCCACCCAGCAGCACAGTGACACTTAACAGCACCGTTTGCCACTCCCAGAATGCCCCATCCCATGGGAGGACTGGATAACCAAACCTGGTGCTGCCTCACACCGCAGGGCTGGAAGGGGCCTGTGCATGGAGGCAGAAAATCTGATAAGCGATCAGGCAGCACCACCATTCAGTGGATAATTAAGGTGTAAGTGCAGAGGAAATGACCTGGCTGCTCCTGGGGATCAGGAGAGGCTGTGACCCTTGCAGCCAGTGCATTAAATGCACACTAGTTCCTCTTTAAAAAAAAAAGAAACTAAAAGATGAATCATGTCCCAGCATCTGAACACTGCTGGGATTGCAGCGTGAGAGAAGGAAACGAGACCATCTGGTGAGGCTTTGGCACAGCCTGGATCAGCAGGGAAAGGGGACTCCCTGGAGCCAGGGCGAGGGTTTGGGAGCACAGATACAAAGCAGGTTCTTGCAAACAAACTGCACACACCTGGCAGAGCAAGCTGAGCTTTTCCAAGCTCCAACACCCTGGAGGAGGGAGGAAAAATGAGTTGGAGGAAGATTAGGAGCAAAGCAGCAGAGGCTAAGGCTAAGTTAAGGCCATTTTGGTATGTTAGAGCACACAGACAACCCTGACCCATCTCTCCTGAGTCCCACTACCAAAACCTTGACACCCCAGAAATTGCTGGGTGACCAGCGCAGGTTGGAGCATCCCCCAGGACCAGCTCTGGCTGAATCCAATCCCTGATGACACTGACTCCTGCCCCACTGCCAGCAACACTCAAGCCCCAAGAGAGGGAAGGCATTTACGTGGCCTGAGCTCTCCCCACCCCACAACCAGGGGTCCATCACCTGCAGCAGATACTGCAAGGAAGGAATTTTGGGGATGGGTTTCTCATCCCCACTACACAAGCCAAACAATCACCAACAAATTTGGCTGCAGACAGAATTGCTGAGCAAACCACAGCCAGGCCCCCACACTCCCTGTCCATGGTTCCCAATCTAATCCATCCCTACCTCTTGCCAAGGGCAGCCAGAGCACGCAGGACATGCAGAGGCCATGCTGGGGACACTGGTGCAGCTCTCCACAGGAATACAGCCATGGAAAGACACTGCCTCCCCTACCACCACAGCCACAGGGGGACAGCACAGCCCCCAGACCTCCCCACCAACACTCTGCACCCCTCTCTCTCTTCCCAGCCCAAGTCCAAAGCAAAGAAAGAAAGGAGATAAAGAAGGGAAGAAAGAAATAAAAAACTAAAACAAATAAAAACTAAAACAAAAAGCAGCAGTTGGGAGGCAGCCTTGTTAGGACAACTCAGCAAAATAAAATTCCGGTTTATTGTTGGACAACATTGTTTCACACATACATCAAACAGGCCAAAAAAAAGAAAAAATAAAAATAAACAGCAACTTCATAGACAGAAAAAAAAAAAGAAAACCTTTTTATCTTTGGCCTTGCCACCTCATACAAACCACGATCTATGGTACAGCTAAAGTACATACACAAAAAAAGTTACTGGAATGCTCAGATAAGATTGTAATTTTTTTTTTTTTGCATTTTTGTCTTTTTTAATTTTTTTTTTTTACAAGGTTTTGCTTTATTCTCCTTTGAGATAATGGTTTGGGCCTGGTCACACCACAAGTAAAGTCAGAGATAGGTAACAAGAGAGATATACACTTCAAAGCCCCCCTTTTGGTCAATCCGAGATCACTTAAAAATGGTGGACCTCCTAACAATATGTACAAAAATATAAAATGTAAATAAAAAATACAAACAAATTCTCCTTTAAAGTACTTTTAAGAAAGAAAGCAGGGCCTTGAAGTTTTGGTGCTCGGGGGGGAGAGGGTTTGTGGGGAAGGGGGGTTTTCTCTCCCCGCTAACGGGCGAATCATTTCCATGTTCGTTGAGTGGCAGCGCCGCGCCGGGGGGCGGGGACAGGGTTCACTCTACTTGGTGAGGATGACCACGGCGGAGGGGGGAGGAAGGGCTGTGTGAGGGAAAGGGGGCTGCAACGGGGGTCCCCAGGGGAGACCCAAGGGTGAAGAGGACGCGCTGGCCTTTTTTGTTGGTTTGTTTTCCTCCTTATTTAAAAAAAAAAAAAAAAAAAAAATTGCTGCCTAGTCATCTTCATCGGTTTTCTGCTTCTTGGGATCAACGTCGTCATCCTAGGGGGAAAGCAAAGCTGTCAAGAGAGGGGATGGGGACTGGGGCTGCTGGGGGCAGGCAGGAGTCACCCCAAGGCAGGGAGTGAGGCTGGGCAGTTTGGGGTCCCTCTCCTGCCTCAGGGACAAGGTCTGAGCACCACAGATGTTTCCCTCCCTCAGGCAAAGTCCTCTCTTCTCAGGGAGCCCCTGAGTGCCCACAGCCAGGCCTGCCATGAGCATTCCAGGTCTCCCCAGCCCAGGGCCAGGGCTCGGCTGGGCAGGAGCAGACACCCCCCCTAACCAGGCCAGTGTATAAACAGAACTGGGCTGTGTCCCTGGAGAGACATGGGGAGCACACAGGCAAAGCATTCCAGCCCCAGAGTTAAGCCCAGCCCCTCTAGCCCCACTGACACTCTCCCCCCTCCCAAGCCCTCTGGGGACATGTGTGGCTCTAAGGGGCTGCTTAGTCTTCCCACCTCATCATCCTCAGCTGCCCGTTTGCCTGTGGCTCCCTCAGCTTCGTCATCGTCATCACCATCCTCTTCCTCACCTGCATGGAGTACAAAGGGAGGAAATGTGAGACCCTCTGGGAGAGCTCCAGTACCACCTCCAATACCTCCCCCCTGGGTTTAATCCTGGCACACCCCCACAGTGTGATGGCATGTCCCCATCTACCCAGGTGCCACAGACCCTGCTCAGGACAAGAGGTGACAGAGGACACTGTGGCTTTCTGGTAGGTCAGGTCATTTAGGGGATGCCCAAAGGGAAAATAAGGATTGGCAGCCTCAAGTTTGATTCACACTGCATTTGTAACACAGACAGTGAGATGGCAAAACCACCACCTACCATAAGTGCCGAAATCGTGGCAAAATGGGGGGGAAAAAAAAGAGCGAGGAAAAAACTCTTTCTAGTGGCTGCTCTGCCTAACCACTCCAGATTACTTCTGCTTCCCTTCGCAGCTATTAGTCCATCTTTAATGAGTTAAGAGAGCCAGAACGCATTAGTTCTGAGTCAGAACACTTTCTAATTATCAGAACAGCAAACAAATGCTTCCAACTTATCTTACAGCCAGCCAGGAGGATGAGCAGCGAGCTCTGGGCTTTGACCCACTTTGAGCTCAAATAGGCCAGTGGATCAGAACAACTGAGTCAATCACCTTTGGCCAGTTTTGGGGGCTCAGGGGCAAGCCCAGAGGCAGAACAGCTTCTCAGCTGCCAAGACAAGTCTCTTGTGTAACAGGAGACCCTACTATAACTTAGAGTTAAGGCCAGTAAGCTGGCTTTAAACCACCGCCATGAGCCACACGTATGGCCAGCCTGGACAGCCGGGGGGATTAAGGTCAGCCCATCCTCCCCTCTCCTGACGTGTGCCCAGCTGCAGTGTGGCCCATGCAGCAGGAAGGGCCAAGATTAGCTCCCAGCGATGGATCAACACCCCGGCAGCCATCACATGCACTGGGCTGGCCGGCAGGTCAGGTGACAGTGCCAAGCTGATTGGGAGCATTTTTAGTTCTTTGAGCTGCTTTAAGCAAAGCAAATAATGAGATGGGATGGAGAGATGCGAGAGGAAAATATACCCTCAAGCTCTCCTCTGCTGTCAAACCCCGGGAGTCTGGCTGCAAGTCTTGGCTAAAAAAGCTGATGCAAGCTGGACTTGCTGCCTTTAAATCTCTCTCCTGCAGTGCTCAGGTGCAGCTCTCAGGCAGGGATCGCCCGAGGGCAGCAGGCATGGACAGAGCCCGTGCCAGCAGTCAGAGCCTGTGCTGGATCCCCGCGAGGCACCGGCGTCTCCAGGCACCGCGTGCCAAATCGTGCCTGCGCTCGGTGAGCTG